TTGCTTCAAATGTGACATCATCTATGGAAATATTTCATGTGCAAAGAGTGATTGACATAATTGAATCCACTTATGAATCCACAATCTGTCTGAGCAGCCTGACTTTGGGTTCAGGTTCATTGTCATGAAGCAACAAGTCCCAAGGTAAAGCTGCTCCTCATTTTATTGTTATTGCTGCTTGCAAGCTCTGTACAGAGGGAGCACTAGAGGTCTCAAGAAGTGAGATCTGTATAGATTCTTAAGAGACCCCCATTCTTCCAACTGTGGTGAACTGTAAGCCTAAAAATAAAAACTCCATCTCTGATGCCCCTTATTGAAATTATTTTTGAAATGCAAAGAAATCTCTGAAATGGAATTCTCCTTAGACTTCCCCCACAAGCACCCAAAGCAGAAGTTAATCAGATCATGTCCAACTGATCATGACCTAAAAGGAGAGATTATATTTGAATATAGTGCATGTTATGCACATCTTGTGGCCAACCCCTGCTTTCAGACATGGGAGATTGAAGAGATCAAACTGTTATGAAGCCTCCAGGGCTTGTGCTAATGCATGATTTTTGTGTAAATTTTTCAAATTAGGTTGTTTTTCACCACCAGATTTGAAAAAATATTTCTCTTTTATTTTTTAATCATCATAGTAATTGGCACCAAACCCTATGTGTGACCTATGGAAAACTTATTCCATACAGATTCTGCATTTGCTCCCATCAGCATGTAATCCCACTGAGGGAAAAAAAATTGAACAAGGGACATTCTGCCAGAATAGCCCTGGACCCAGAAGCTTTTGAGGCTTCACTAGTGTAAAAATATCCTCACTGCCATTGGTGGAGATTATGCAGGCTCTTTCTAATCACCTACATTATTACATTCAGACCACACTTCTGTTGTTCAGGCTAACACACTTCAGATTTTCTCCCTAACCATGAATTCATGAAACCATGACTCATGGGATTGAAAAGGAGAGGGATGCCTACATCACTTTCATCCAAATGAGGGGAGGATTAGATAAATTGAGAGAAGATATACATGATGACCATTAACCTTTTTCTAGTAGGGAATATTTGCATCATGGGATGCAAAGTGGTCAATTTGATCATGTCATATGCTCCAAAAAAAATGCATACGATTCAGTGTAGCTTGTCAGCTCTACCTCTGAATGCAGTAACACCTTCATCTGGTTGATAGTCTGCTAAGATCATGCTTTTGGAAACCAAAAGTTTGTGGCTTTGTTTTTCCCAGCTGGGAATTGAATATGTCTCATTTTTGGGGAGTAGAGAGGCCTAGTATATCTCATTCATTGATTCCAGGTTGGTCTGAGTGTTCTGGCAGTGGCTCCACACAAAAAATAATACCCTGGGACAGATGCACACAGTCAAGGATAAATGCCACAAGCATTTGAACAAATTAGAGGAAGGGTGATCCTTATTGGGCATCCCTGACAGCAGTCCTTCCATTCTTATTCTCCTTGTCACTCTGTATCCCATTTTCCCAGGCTTGGAGAATGTGATGCCAGTTTTGATGGCACCTCAAATGGGTGCCTCACTTGCACCAGCCACATTAACCAGGATGCACTTAAGGTTCACTAAACTCCTACCTCTCACACCATAGAGCAGTGGTGCACAACTTTTTCCCCATAGAGGGCCAACATATAGATTTCTGCTCATTTTTTAGGGGTCCAAGGGCCACAGACCCTCGAACATGAGCCGAAATAGGTCGCATATAAATATGGATCTTTAGAGACTGGGGCAACCAAGGGGCCGCAAAAAAGACCTCTGCGGGCTGCAGGTTGTGCATCACTGCCATAGAGCATTGAGTGAGTGGCCTAAGCTTGAGCCAAAGGGAGAGCAGTTAGTGCCCAAAAGCATCTGGGTGAACTGTCAGTTGGAGAATACTGCCTGCCACTAGCAGATTCAAACCTAGACCTCCTGCATGCTAGCCCAAGACCCCTAAGTCTTGGAGCCATAGTGATGCAGTCAGCTCCACATCTTATTACCTGTTTTGTTAAACATGCATGACATTCCACTGGGTTATTATTAGATGTGCCAAATGTTGCTGTCTCAATGGCTTTTGCAAGGCTTTGCTATCAGGTATTGACATTCTTAGTATGCATCAGGCAGATACCTTTCCCCAGATAGTGATGTAAGGTTGAAACAACTGAATAATGTGAAATGCCCAATTACTTGGCAACTTGTTTAGTGTTGAACCATTGGTCTGTGAGCACCGTCTTTTTTATTTGGCTGATTTGATCAGAAAAACAGCAAAAAGATTACTCAAACCAAGAGGGAATATCTCTTGCAAGCATACAACTACATAGTGGAAGTGTAATATAAGTTGGATAAGAGTTAATGATGTTCTGATGGGTGCACCATTGGAAGAGGTGTATCAAAGCAAAACAAGCCAGTTTTATAAAGTAATATTTTGCTTTTTCCACAGGCATCAGAAACATCAGCTATTGAATGAAATTTGCAACCATGAGTAGTTGGGGTCTGAATGGTTAATTGTGTAATCGGTTAATCAAACAATTTTCACCTAGTAGTTTAAAATATCCAATTTCATTTAACCACCCCTCCTTGACTATACATCCATAATCCCATAGTCTCTTGCTACTTGGACTTTTTATTCATGAAAACTGAAGGGGAGACGGGAGATAATTGATGTTAGATGGAAGAGGCCTGAGGCAAGTGGGAAGAAGGGAAAAACAGACATGAGAAAATGCTGTAGCCACAAAAGGGACTGGATAAAGTCAGTCACAGTGGGAGGGCTTGTAGTAACTCTTTGCCAACAAAGGCCAATATCTCCATTTTCTGTTCTTAGCAAATTAGTGGTGTTGGTAGGTGGGTGGTTGATTGATGGCTTGCCCCTGGAAATTTAATTAAACCTCTACTTGGAAGAAAGTCCATGTGAAGCTGGAGGCTTCAATTGCAATGGTGGAGAGAAAACAATACACATTTCCTTATTACAGTCAAAATTGCTAAGAAGTTCCTTTTGTGTCAGCAATGTCCATCCCTTCAGAGGATGCCTTTTCCACTGCTGGAAAAATTATTTCAAAGGAGATGAGGGGGTGCTCTCAAATTCTTATTTTTAAATAAATGTATCTTCCTACATGCCAATTGGAAGAAACAAAATACACTCACCAAGAGAAAATGCTTCAAAGGGATGTAAGTGCAAGGGCCATCTTCTTGCTTAACCCTTCAGGCACTGAGTTTTGTCCTGACCTCCTAAGTGATGAATGTACAGTGTATGTGAAAACTGCTTGAAAGGTGGTTGCTGATCAAAGGTGATGAATGTATCTGCCTCTGTTTATTGCTTTTTTTCCCCCTGTGGAATGAGGGGGAGGGGAAGGACAAAAGAAAAAGTAAGGAAGATTTGACATTTCAGCAGATGGAAAGAAGAGGGGGAGAAAATGACAGAAGGTGAAGGAAGAACATTGGGGAAGGAAGGAATGCATTCCTTCTTAGTGTCCCCTTTTCTTGAAACTTCTGTTAATCTGGTACTGGTTAATGAATTAATTGGGATTTGAGACCCTTGATAGATTCATAGAGTGCTGGAGGTCCAAGGTATCATGGCCAACTGACACAATAGCGAAACATATGTTGTTGTTAAAATCATGATGTAAATGGTGTTTCCAAAAACACTGACCCTTCTCCTTTTTTTTTAATAACTCCTAAAAGGACAAATGGAAACTAGATTTTCATGCCAGTACTTGGAGGGCATCTTGGAGTTTTATTCTGTAGTATGACCGATATCAACAGAGATGCCATATTCTGTCTAGGAGTGAGATTTCATAGTGAAGAAGTCCTACCAAAGTCAGGATAGTAAAGTGGAAGTTCAGCTTGACTTCTGCATTGAATTCATTGTCAGAGAAACTCCATTAAAAAAATTCAAAAACTTCTACAACAGCTTGACAGAGATTTAATGGGTTGAATTTTGTTGAGCTTTCAATCAATTTATGAAAGACCACCATGAAGCCTATGAGCACATCAGGTTTATGAATGAAACCCACTTCCCCTTTGATGATTATGTCAGCAAGCAGAACATGAGATTATGGGCATCAGAGAATCCCCATTACATTGTTGATAGACTGCTCCATCCACAAAGGGCCACTGTCTGGTGTGCTCTGTCAAGTGCAGCCCCATGTTCATGGAGGCTATGGTGAAATTATTCACCAATTAACATTCGCTCCTGCACTAAATATGCCATACCTATTGATATTTTTTATAATATGGAATAAAACTCCAAGTTTTACTCTAAACACTGCCACAAAAATTAAACCTCTACATTTGTCCTTTTAGGAGTTATAGAAAAAAAGGAAAGGGTTAGTGTATTTAGAAACACCCTTTTTTTGGGGAGATCATCAACTGCTGTAGCTTTGGACTTTTTGAGAGATTAATTCTGGAATTATTAAAAAAGAAAGCAAAAACATGGATCAGGGAGGAGACAAAAATAGTTCAGGACATCATGAAGCTCTCAAGAAGCAACCAATAAGGGGACTACACATGAAGTGAAGGAGTTAGGGGAGTTATGAAAAGAGGAGTTTTTTTAATTGGAGCTCAGAATAGGATGATATGACATACATGGGAAGGCCTGTAGACAGAATAACTGATGATGAGGGCCAATGACACCATTTAATATTGTATTATTCTTATTTTTATGCTGGAGTTAGATAGCATCCTACTTCTTTATTCTCACCTGAAGCAAGCTGTACTAGTGCAAGATTCTAGTGAAAAATGTGTTATCTGAGAGAACACATTTTGCACTAGAATCCAGGTAGAGTGTTCCTGAAAATGTTCCAGATAATTCACATAGGCTAAGTCACTTTCAAGTATGGACTGTTTCAAGTGAATCATTACCATCCCCTTCCTCAAATTATCCAAAGGCAGCTCTATTTCAAGTTGTGTTTAGATTCTTTAAAGTATTGAGATTTCTGAGAATTGTGATATAAAATATGAACATTGAAGATATAAATGTGAACATTGAAAAATTATTTATCTGTTCTCCAGCTTGCATTGGAGGGATGTCAATTGGTGGTGTTTTGGCATGGACATCACCTGCACTACCACAGTTAGAGAAAGAGTGGAAGATCACCAAGGAGCAGCAGTCATGGATAGGAGCTTTTGTGCCCATTGGTGCCATATTTGCACCCATTCTAATAGCACCACTCATGGATCGTGTGGGACGAAAAAGCTTACTCATTTATCTCTGTGCCCCCTTTACTGTCGGCTGGTTGGTGTTGTTCTTTGCTCAAAATGTTTATGCCCTCTATATTGGCAGGATTATCCTGGGGTTTTGCTGCAGTTCTAGTTGTGTCATAATTCCACTTTATGTGGGAGAAGCAGTTCATCCACAAATCAGAGGGATTCTCTCTACCTTGTTCCAAATTCTCATCACTCTTGGGATTCTGTTGGTATATGTCATTGGAGGAACCCTCACATGGCGTTGGTTGTCCTTTCTCTGGGGTTGTGTGGCTTGTGCTCATTGCATCACCTTGTATTTTGTGCCTGAATCTCCTATGTACCTCATGATGCAAGGCGAGGATGCTAGAGCAAAGGAAGCTCTTCTTTGGCTCAGGGGTAGCTTGTATAATGTGGATGCAGAGCTCCACAACTTGAGATACTGTGCACGGAAGGATGAGGGAACTGGGAAACTTTCTTTCATAGCTTTGATTAAGCAACCATTTGCTTGGAAACCTATTCTCATTTCTGTTGGCTTGATGCTGAATCAACAGTTCAGTGGTATAAATGCAGTGATATTTTACCTCCAGCAGATTTTTGCTTCATCTGGTTCACACCTGGATGAGGGATTGCAAACAGTAATAATAGGATCCTTGCAGTTTATTGCATCTTGCATCAGTGCATCCATTATTGATAGCTTAGGAAGAAAACCCCTCCTCCTGATGTCAAACATCTTTCTTACTATTTCTTTGTTTGGTTTAGGAAGTTTCTTTTACTTCTCAGAGAAGTGGGGAGAGGGTGAAGCTTCTAAAATGCTTGGATGGCTTCCTGTCACATCTCTAGGAATCTTTATCGTATTCTTTTCTTTTGGATTGGGACCAATACCTTGGGTATTGAATGGAGAGCTCTTCTCTCCTGAAACAAAGAGTTATGGGTCTGCTGTATCAACATTTGTAAACTGGATGTCTGCATTCATAGTCACCAAGACATTTATGAGTCTTCTTGATATCCTGCATCCATATGGTGTCTATTATCTTTTCAGTGGGATTACTGCCTTTGGTTGTGTTTTTGTCCAATTCTTTGTGCCAGAGACTAAAGGACGCACCGTGGCTGAAGTCATGCAGCTCTTCAGTGGTCATGTTCCTTACCAGCCTCTTTCTGGTGAGAAATTAATTTGAAGTTACCAGCTGCTATGATAATCTTTTGTGATGATTGCAAGAAGGAAGTTTAATCAAAGTAGTAGAGAATGCCCTAATTTATTCCTCCATTTTATTTTGATGGTGATAGCTTGCATAATTTGGATCAATGACAATCACTTAGATGATCACAGTTAGACTTAGACACCAAAGTTCTTAGGCTCACTTGTGTATTTTACAACTTTGATGGGTGATTGTAGTATACCATGATAGCACTCAAAACAACCTCAGTTTTTAAGACTTGAGCCTATCCTCTGCCTTAAAACCATGAGGGCACTCTATGGTCTTGTTTGAATGCATATTTGTGATTATTGATCTTATTCCATCCTTTACCTTTACATTCTGCATCTGTGAAAGACAAGCAGGGCTTTGTTCTGTTGTCAGTGCACTGGAAGATTACACCAGATAAAGAGTTATTCAGTCAGGATCCAATTGACTGTGACTATGCTTATGTTAAGCTTGGAGAATTCATAATCCCATGAATTGGTTGTTTCAAAAGCCCAAAGGCAATGATCCTCATCATTTATTGTGATGATAAATAGTGATTTATTTTCTTTGATTTATTTTTTTTCTCCATTCCAATTTTTACTGCTTCATCCTCCTCATTGAAACATGTTCTCATTCCTGAAATGCAAAACCATGTTGTGATAATGCTGAAGTAGTCAATAAAGAAGGATAAGGAGTGCTTAGATCTTGAGTGTTGCTTATTCTCCAAGCCGCCTTCATTTGAAGTCTGTCACTACATGATGGTTGTAGTGGACATGGTACCTGTCACCACATTAGACAGATTGAAGTGAAAATGAAGCCAACTCAAGCAATGTATGGGTAGTTTTTTCCTTGTTCTGCAGAATTTATTGTCTTGAGGACAGAAACTAAAAGAACCCCCACTTGAAAAAGTCATACATCATGATCTTATATTGTGACAACATGCACGATGTATGGTTCCTGTATGGTGATTTTAGAACATCACATCCACATATATAAACAATTGCGAACCCATGCGGAGATGATCTTTAAACGCAGTTTCTCTGGCTTGTTGTAGCCTTGCATCGATTTACGTTAATGGGGATGTTAGAAAAGGAAGAAGCTTGATAAATCCACATGATGCATGCAAACCAATTAGCCTACGTCGACCAAACGCTTAAGCCAAGTCGGTGAACTTTTCTTCAGAGATTTTGCTGCCTAGGCACGTGTTTGCCGTTAGACACTCAACCATGACCCTCTGACAGGGCCGCCCAGAGGGGAGGGATCCAAGGAAAAATCCAAGTTTTCCATGAAGTTGCTCCAATGAACCCCACATAGGGGACGAAATATTGTGTGCCACCTTGTATATGGTAATATTCATACCTTGTATTGTGTGGTAGATGGTTTGATATCTGGTATTATATGTGTTCCCTACATGACTCCATATTTATACACTGCATTGCCAAATGTCAAGACCCATCCATGCAAATAATGGTTTAAATGGTTTCTCTTCACTGTGCAGCACTGTGCATACGGCATGGACATGTCCTTAAGGTACTATGGCCACATAAAAATCGACCCCCCTGGATCGAAATTTCGCTTTATAATTGTTGTAGGGACCTTGAGAAAAGGCCTTGGAGCCAATTGCTGGCTCTCTCAGGTCACGCCCGGGGCCATGATTTGAGGTCAAAAGTCACGATTTACATGCCTCTCTTCGAAAATCTATATCTCCAACCCTTGATCACAGAAACGGCAAATTTGCACCTCTCTCCTTGGGACATAGCACTCTAAATGGCTATTATAAATGCATGCATGTAACTGTCGTTCTCGAGACGCCATGGTGCCATAACCGAGAAACTTTTCGTCGCAGATTTCAGTTTTTCCACACTCATTCCTCGTAGAAATTTCCTATCGACAAAAGCATGCACCAGTTTTTTGAATCCATCCTGGTCCATCTTTTTGCAGAGTTGCGCGTAGTTTCCTCCAACCGTTCCCCCTCAAAGTTCGATCATCCACCTGAAAATGCCACTTTTTTATGGAAATGACGTAAGGTTGACGAGTGTTACCCGAAAATAAGGCTGAATTTCAACCATTCCTCTGATAGATCTCTTAAGAAGTCTCTTAACCAGCTTAGTGTCAGTTTTCACGAGGATTCGTCTACTCTCCTCGAAGCCTATCGCTTGTTACTACGGCCTTTGTTGAAAACGTGGGTCATTTCTTACATTCTGGGTCCATTTTTTCCTCTCACCGGCCAAGAATACAGGATTTTTTTGTGCGTATTCCATAGAGGGATGTTTCAAGAAACCAATGACACCAATATTGCTTGCTGTCTCTAAGGGGATATAGAACACGGGGCTTTAATAGCCGATTTGCATGAAATCTTGAATCCTCTCGCGCAGCTCTTTGTTGGACCTCCCTCCCGACCCACTCTGACCATGTTCCTTCGCCTGCCCCAACACCCTGTCGCATGCACGTACTTCCCCCTCACTTGCTTCTTTCTGCTCTTCGTTAGCCTCACTGGCTCCTTACGCTGACTCTTGCTCTGTCGAAAAAAGAGCCGCCGCACATCCTAAGCTGAGGAGCATAAGGATTTCTGTGATTCTTGTCTGTATCAATCCTTGTGCAGGCGGTACACAGTCTAAGGCTCCAAGGATAACAATGTTCATGAGATTAATGATTAATGTTATTCATTATTATGATAAATCGAATATGATGTTCGCTAAGGGGAGTTTGTCAACTTATGCCCCCCCCCCATTTTTTTTTGGCTATGTCCACGTATCTCCCTTTTCTGAAACTTCTGCATATTTCGCTCCGTGCTTTGCTCTTTTGGAGAGTAATGAAAAATACAATTGAATTGTATTTTAAATATATGCATTGTATCTTCGCATCATTAACTTTTATATCATGAATCATACATTCAAATGTTTTTGCTAGATTTCCAAATTCCCCAGCTAAGGTTCACAGATTACTTCCAAAATGATGTTCAAGTTTTTGGCGATGCAGAACGCATTCATTGGAAGTCCCATTTGAAAAAGGTAAGATAATTTAACCTAACACCTTTTTTAAACCCTTTGAATTTGGATAAAAATGATATATTTCATGTTCACAAGTGAAATCGATTACATAAATATTAATTTAATCAAAATCAAAGGACAAAAAATGGGCAAACCTAACCCTAACCTAACCTATCTTTTTCAAATTGCTCAGATTTGAAAGAAATTCTTTTTTAGGTTTGGCTAAGGACGTCCTCTCGGAATATACACATATCTTTGAAATCGGTTTAAGGACCGAAACTGGGCAAACTCCTTTGTCATTCCTGATTTATCGGGAAAGACACAAATGAATAGCGTGGACGTTGTCTCCAATGATTTCGCCCTTTGTTCAAATTTTGAAGGTAATTCTTGGGGAAGGGGGGTGGGGGACATTTAAGAATTAGCGCTAACATACATACGCTATACAGGGTGTCCTAAAGGTCGTTTTACCGAGACGGTGAAGTATTTAATTGTGATTATTTTCACTTGCGTTCAGATTTTTATTTGCAGATGTGAAATGTGCATTGAACACGATGGACAACCATTTGAACAATTTCTGTAGCTCCTCATTGTCACTTTCTGCTGGTGGTTGGTTGTAAATAAAGTATTTTTTCCCTGGAACGTGAGTATAATTTCGGTAAAGTGACTCTGAGGACACCCTGTATTTTCATTTTTAGTTATTTTGAACTTTGGAACTAAGTATCTTGAGGATGAGGATTTAGGTTTTTCTACGTAGATCTTCCGAGACGACTGTTGAAAAATGGCTCTGCTGAATCATACGTGAAACATTTGTTGATTATCCTCCGACCAAGAACGATTTGACAGACCATGTCGACGAATCATGCAGCAATCAGCCGCATTTCTCCTCCATGCCTCTTTCCCCTGACCACGAACGAGTTGCTTTCCTCTACGATGTGGTGACTTGACCCACTATTCAGATGACACCTGTGCCTTTCTAGGTGAACCAGTTGCCGAGTAGTGCGATTTATTCCTGTTATTGTGCCTAAAATGGCCAGTGGACGATAAGGTCAACGAAACTCTTGGCACCAGCCTTCACGTACCCCCTCCTCGGTCTGAACATGCGCCTCCCCCCCGCCTTTCAGCCCCCTAACTGTATTTACCTCTCTGATACGATCAGAACTGGGTGCATGATTGTGGCCAGTGGGTGAATTGGCCATTCCGCCATTTCTTATGTGCATCCTACCCTTACAGTTTCGCAGCTCGCATCGCCATGCTTGCTATCTTATTGAAACTTCGCCTTACAACAGTATAAATATACCATAGCGAGAATACCATATCATAGTGAAGCTTTTCTTTACTTTTAGATGTCTTGAGGTATTTCAGTGCTATTAACACGACTCTAGATACACGCATATGAACGCGAAACGGGTCACAATAACGTCAATAATGACTGCAACCATTTGCCTCTCCTTCCCTTCCCCAGCTTATATCCATGACAACACAGGCCCTATTCCTTTCAACAATTTTTGTTCATTTTGCTTTCACCCGTGCGACTATATTTGCCTGCGACGAAATAGTGCAACGACCAAAAGTGCATGCGACGATTTGTCCGCGACGAAAACGCCGGTAACCTCTCCTACATTCATTTCGCGAGGTACTCCATGCTCAATCAATTTCTTCGCCGAGCTCTAAAAAAGCTTTAACGAGAGGAATAGACTGCGCCCTAGGTTGATCGTTGTTTTCGTCGCTAAGAAAAATAGGAGATAAATATTTGTTATGAAAATGGAAAGTAAGGTGAAAGACAGCATGAAACGAAAGCAAAAGATAAAATTACCTGAAAAATAAAGGTTTCAGTCAGACCTGAAAACTCTCTTACATGTCAAAGGTCAACTGACGAGGGGAAGTGATAGTTGTCGACCAATACCTTCTTAAGAAGTCCCGAAGCCTAGCAACCCCTAGCAGGGGTTGCAAGACAATCTGTGAATGCCGAATCCTTTCAAGTGGAAGGCGGGTCGGAAAGAGATGGATTGGGAAGAAGGCGGCGAGCAGGAATGATATATATTTTAAAGATCTCCCATGCACTGGGTGAGAGAGGGAAAGAAGGATCACGCATTGTACAGTATGCTGGCCATTTCTGGCACAATTGGGAAAAATTCCACCACTTAGCAACCGATTCACCTAGAAAGGCAATTTGGGTGCAATCTGAATAGTGGGTCATTCCACCCCAACATAGTCTCAGAGGAAAGCAGCTCGTGGTCGTTGGCGAGAAAGAAGGCATGCAGGAGAAACGCGGCCGATTGCTGCATGATTCTTCGACATGGCCTCAGCGAAATCGTTCTTGGTCTGAGGAGAATCAACACATTCGCGTATGATTCGGCAGAGCCATTCATCAGAGTCGTCTCGAAGGATCTTTGTAGAAAACTCGAATTTTATTATCCTCGTTCTGAAGATACTCGACCCATAGGGTGGAACTACAGGTAATTCCGCATCCTGGTTAGGCCCTTTTTCATATATTGGTGATCCAAAAGATCTGGAAATGTACCTCCTTTCTTCGGGAGATATTGAGGGCAAGAAATACTGAAAGCCCTTCTGTCTATGATTTTGTACGTATTTTGATCATTTGAGCTCTCTGCACATTGCTTTGAATAATTTGAATTCCTAATGAATTCTTATTACCCCGTTTCATTAATGTCAAGTGTGTCACTTCCTTTGCTTTTTGTCTGCATTTTAATGCCTCATTAATTAACAACCGTGTCGAGAGACTTTTATCTGCACTCGTGTTTTCATTGGAATTGCCTTCAGGAGAGAGGACAAGGTGGGAGGGGGGGGGGGAAGTGGCGACACGCGAAGAGGAATCTCAGGAGGGGGAATCGAAAGCGGAGCATGTGATTTTTTTTTAATTTATAATAATAATAAAGAAAAAAGAAGACGATCCTGAGGACAATAAAAAAAATCAATAGCAATAGGCGCCAGTTGAAGTCGCGTCGGTCTCCTGCTTCTTCTGCCACTCATCCACTCAGAGATAATCAAGCGCACGCACAAGTGGGTGTGAGTCGGAAGGGAGGTCCAAACAAGGAAGAGCTGCGCGCGAGAATTCAAGATTTCATGCAAATTGGCTATTAAAGCCCCGTGTTCTCTATCCCCTTGGAGACAGCAAGCAATATTGGTGTCATTGAATTCTTGAAACATCCCTCTATGGAATAGGCACAAAAAAATCCTGTATTCTTGGCCGGTGAGAGGAGAAAATGGACCCAGAATGTAAGAAATGACCCACGTTTTCAACAAAGGCTGCAGTAAAAAGCGATAGGCTTCGAGGAGAGTAGACGAATCCTCGTGAAAACTGACACTAAGCTCTGGATAAGAGACTTCTTAAGAGATCTATCAGAGGAATGGTTGAACTTCAGCCTTATTTTCGAATAACACTCGTCAACCTTACGTCATTTCCACTCGGTTATGGCACCATGGCGTCTCGAGAACGACAGTTACATGCATGCATTTATAATAGCCATTTAGAGTGCTATGTCCCAAGGAGAGAGGTGCAAATTTGCCGTTTCTGTGATCAAGGGTTGGAGAGACAGATTTTCGAAGAGAGGCATGTAAATCGTGACCTTTGACCTTTGACCAAGGCCCTTTCTCGAGGTCCCCTACAACAATTATAAAGTGAAATTTCGATCCAGGGGGGTCGATTTTT